CCTGGGTACCAGGAACTACAACCCACTCCTAGGGGATGTGTTGGTCTGGTACGTTGCCTGGGTACCAGGAACTACAACCCACTCCTAGGGGATGTGTTGGTCTGGTACGTTGCCTGGGTACCAGGAACTACAACCCACTCCTAGGGGATGTGTTGGTCTGGTACGTTGCCTGGGTACCAGGAACTACAACCCACTCCTAGGGGATGTGTTGGTCTGGTACGTTGCCTGGGTACCAGGAACTACAACCCACTCCTCACCACAGCCTTGATCTTCATCTCTGAATCATCCTTTAATGAGGTCCCATTTTCAGTCTGCACCCCATTATTAAATGTACCATTCCTTCCATGACTGTGCACTATTGTCCCCTAATCTGAGAACTGTGGGGGTGACAGTTAGGTGGATTTTTTCATTGGGACCATCACTTCCCCAATAATGACATGGAGATTTATTATTAATTATGAAAGCTCAGACTATAGCTTAGACTTGTTTCTAACTGGCTCTTCTAACTTAAATTAACTATTTCTATTAATTTACTTTCTGCCTCATGACTTTATTACCTCATCTCCGTATTTCTCATCCTGCTTGCTCTGAATCTCCAGGCGTCTCTGCCTTCTTCTTCCCAGCATCTTCTCTGCCCCCAAAATCCTGCCTAGCTATTGGCCATTCAACTTTTTATTAACTCAGAGTGGTACATCTTCACAGTGTACAAAAAGATTGTTCCACAGCATTTCCCCCTTTTTGTCTAAATAAAAAAGGAAAGGTTTTAACTCTAACATAGTAAAATTATATACAATAAGAACAATTATCAGGTATTATCTAAATAGAAAAAACGTATTAACTTTAACAAATGTAACTATATATAATAAGAACAATATCAAGTAATTATTACATTTACAATGTCCAGTCCATTTGGATTTGGCATATTCAGAGAAAATACTCTATTTTTTGTCTTATCTTGATGAATTTAAAGTTTTATACCTAAGCCATTTCTATCAAAACTTATATTACCATCTTAAAGCATTTTTAGAACTATAAACATTTTTTAAATAAACAATTTAAGCTTTTATATCTCTCAACTTTATAAATTTTATATCTCTTATGTAAGTTTCTTTTCTGAATTTGGTAAGAAGAAAAACCGTAAACCTATAATTATCTAGTCTTCAATCTCCATCAGAGACCCAAGAAGCATAAAAATATTACTTGAGTTAATAGGTAGTACAGAGCAAACAAGTTCCAAAGTTACAGAAATGACAGAAACAGCTGGCTGCCTGGACGACCACTCAAGATTCCTCTGTAATATTGGAGCATCCATCTTTGGCTTACAAACCTAGAACATCTGATAGACTTTTCTGTAAATCAGGAATTTTGAAGGACTTTCCTACCTTGTCTTGGCAAAGCTCAGCAGTCGCTTTCTTTGTGTGTCCTGTTTGTTCAGTTTGGGTGGCGTCCTATCAGCAGTCAAGGCAAAGGCAGTTTCTTGCCCAGATGGCTAGCTTTTGCCACAAGGAAAGCAATCTCCATGTGGAAGTTCTTTGATGCTCATCATTCTTCTTGAAATAAATTGGTGCTGCCAGAAGCAGACTTGTCTCATGAAAGGCTTATTTTATTAAAACACCTTAAATGCTATATTCTGTAAGTCTTTGAAGTGTTTGATGATCACCTTCCTACCTAAAATATATCTTTGTAAGACCTTGAAAATGTACCTAACATGATTATAAGTTTGATTTTTCTGGATGACTATTAACCTGTATTTTTTTTATTATCCTAAATAGCTTTCAAGGACTAAAACTTTACATTACATTTTTAAATGAGCTGCATAGGTACAATATCTCCTCCTCTTCCTCCTCCTCCTCCTCCTCTTCCTCCTCCTCCTCCTCCTTCTTCTTCTTCCTCTTCTTCTTCCTCTTCTTCTTCTTCCTTTTCTTTTTCTTTTCAAGATAGGGTTTCTCTATGTCACCTTGGCAGTCCTGGAACTCACTCTGTAGACTAGGCTGGCCTCAAATTCACAGATATCTGTCTGTCTTTGCCTCCCAAGTGCTGGGTATCACCACCACCCAACTAAGTACAATATCTTAAACAAGAATAAAAACATACATACAGTATAACAAAAACAACTTTAAATTTGTATCAATATACAAAAATTCATACCAATGTAAAATATTCGAGACTAGTAGTTCTTTTTTAGTTTGAAAGTAAACACAATAATCTACTCCTTTATCCTACTATTTCTATATACCCCTTTTTCTTTTCAGAATGAGATCCCTGAATCTAACCTTCTTTGTTTAGTACCCTTCCTGACCATGCCCAATTACAAGACTTGCAACCAACCCCCCTAAGTGATGACAACACCCATCTAACCACCAAAAACCACTCACTCCACCTTTTGAGAATATGGGCGTCATGTTCTTAAATTATTTCCTGTTTTCTGGGGATGACAGAATCTTAGAGGACCCTGAAAAAAGTTAAGGCAATGTCCAAGTTCTGAGGGAGCTAGCTGTTGTCCAGTCTTGGAGTGATGGGATAATGCAAGGCTTATTTGAAGTCCTGGCTGGACCAGTCTATGATGCTGGACCATCTTAGTTAGCCACCCTAAAGTCATCCTCAGCAGTTTGTAGTCCAAAACTGATCTTTGGAATGTGTTTGTCAGCTTAATGGCATTATCATAATCCAGGTGAAGTTGTCATTATGGGGCTCCATCAACTTTTTGGAGACTTCTGAGGTAGCTGTTAGGAATGTTCATGGTGTACTGCAGAAAACTTAAACATTTTAGATGTCATATGCACCAGATCTCAGAGAGATTAAAGGACCAGAGTCTATTAAATATAACCAGGATATACAGGCTAAGTTCCTATTACCTGATTCAGACTCAAGACTGAAATTCACATACAGGAGAACAGAGGAAGCCTAAATCTAGAATTGGTTAGTACTCTGTATGACCACTATTATCATATCAGAAGATTTAACTATATATACATATATCAGTATTATAAATTTTAAGATTTTCTACCTTAAATATTAAAGAATCAAAATAAAATAAAAGGATTATGAGATTAGTGGCAATAGAATAGTCCCTAATTTTGATTTTTATTCTGTACCATACCAGAGGTGTCTCTTCTGACATGAGACAGAGATTTTGGATTTTCCTTTAACAAGCATGCTCGGGTTTAGAGAAGGACAGAGCCATGTTCCAATTCCAAAGCCACCTTTAACTTTTCATTTAATCGAGACTACAAAAAGACCATTTGCCCAATATGTCTGCAGAGAATAGTAGAGACAAACATTTGGGAAGAGTTATGAAATTTTATCTTATTGGTAGTGTGTTATACCTTTAGGCCAATTTACTCCTTTTCTTGGGGCATTTTCTCTGGATGATTGATTCATCCTTCTTCTGGTGTCTCATTTGTCCAGTGGTCTTCAAATTCCTTAGTTGGATGCTTTTATTTTCCTGGAAAGAAACAAAACAAAACCCTGCCCCAGCCTTAACTTTCAGGAGTTTCTCTCCTTGCCATATGTCGGCAGATTTTTTTGTTGTTGTTGGACCATCAGCTCCCCAGTAATGACAAGGGTACTTATTGTTCATTATAAAAGCTCAGCCAATAGCTTAGGTTTGTTCCTAACTAGCTCTTAGACCTGGAGAGGGTAAAGGTGGCAATGCCAACGCTGATGACCTGAATTTGATCTCAATGGAAGGAAAGAACCCATTCCTGCAAGTTGTCCTTTAACCACACACACACATGCACACACACACACACACAGAGAGAGAGTAAATAAATAAACATAAAAGTAATTGGTTTGAAAGTCAGATGTGGTGGCAAGAACCCAACACTCCTAAGTCAAGAAGTGGGGGGGTGAGACAGAACGAGAAGCCTAGGGCAAGGTAGCCCAGAGAGAACATTGTTGCAGAAACTGCAAGAAACCTTGCCTCTCAACAAGGTGGCCTGGTAAAATTGTCCCCTGACCGCCATGCTCACACATCATGGCACTCCTGCACTCATACACAGAGACTGAGTAAAATTTAAAATTAGTTTAAAAAATAAATATATATATATATAATGTGAATATATATATTTATAATATGTATTACCCACAATTCTACTGGAAAGGATCATTGCTGTGTGTCTTTGCGTCACAGATTGTTCTGCGATAACTGTTGGTGCTTATTAATGCAGAGAGATATATCCAGGCCAAAGGGGCGTTTTCAGTTCACTTTGGTGACTGCTCAGTGTGTTCTGGATTATGTTTCTCTCAGCAGTTCCTCAGTCTTCCAAGTTGTTTCTGTTGCCATGAGTAATGTTACTGGGACTATCCTCCATCCATCAGAAGCATTTCTCCATCACCTGCTTAGTGACGGAGTCCTGAGTATTCCATCCTTCACACATCACAGACCCTCTGAGTCCCATCTCCGAGCATGGTTTCTATCAATTCTTGTTGCTGATGACCAGATGGCATGGCTGAACCAAAGGGCACCCCTCTGCTCTCCCTAAGGACAGTGCCTACTCCAGATTGGCCTGCCAGAGGGCACCCCAGGGAACAAAACAGGCTCCAGAGGAAGCAGGGGGAGCCAGGCTAGTTCCTGGTGTGGCTCTGGCCTTAGGACCCCTTTTTTAGGCTAGCGTTTCACTCGGTGGCCATGTTTAAACAGGTTGGGTTGCTGGCATTGAGTGTGGAAATTTACTTGAAATTGGGCCACCCTAGATATTCCAGAGACTCTGAGGTACCCCCTGGACGGGCTCCAGACTGCCCTTGTCCGGCTTGTGGGGCATGTGGGGAGGGGAAGAGAGGCACAGGCTTCATTGAGATCGCCAAGGGCGGCTGGGCCCGGCCCAGCCCCCTATCCGGCCTCCGCCCCTGCCCTTCCTACGCTCCCGGCTGGCGACCTGGTAGCTCCAGAGCCCAAACCTGTCGGGCCGGTTTGTAGAGAGACGGGAACCGAGGGAAGAAGGCTGCAGAAGGATGCACGGCCTGCCCGGTGCTGGCCCGCCCTGTCCGCCGCCCGAGCCTGTGCTGCCCACCCGCCCGAACTCATGACGTGCTCGCCCGGCCTCGTGGTACCCCTGCTGGGTCTGGGCCTGGGGCTGGCCCTGAGCCTAGCCGGAGCTGTGGCCGCCGACTGTGGGTCCTTCGCTCCCGCGGAGCATCTGGTATTCACTCCCGCAGCCAGGACGCGATGGTTGGTCCCTCGTGTCCGCGCGCCGGGGCCCCTGGACTCCCTCTATGGCACCGTGAGGCGATTCCTCTCCGTAGTTCAGCTCAACCCCTTCCCGTCGGGTGAGTGCCCCCTCCCCCAGCGGACCTCCGCAGGCACTGGGCCCCCAGCTAGACTGTGCACATCCTGTCAACAAGCGCTTGACAGGGTGAGTGAGGTTTCTGACACTACACAGCCTTATTCTTCCGTACGTTCTGGAATTCCACGAGCAGCTTCCGAGCCTTCTTGTTTGACCTTGGGCTGGGACTCTGTGCAAGAAAGTTAAATCCGGCTCATTGTCTCAGTGTCACAGTGTCAGGGGTCAGGAGGGCCAAAAGAGGCCGGAAGAGGGAAGGGAAGGACTACCAGGCCAGCTGCAGTGCTTACCAGAAGGACCCAGATGGTCTGCTTGCCGGCCTTCTACCAGCTGCCTCTCCTGCAGCATGATGAGGCCTGGCAAGCTGTCACAGCCACATGGCCCTGCCTTCTCTATGAACCTCCCTGAGCCTGGCAATGGGGAGAGGCTAGGCACAAGGGCTAGGCAGTGGCTGTCCCCAAACCCTTGGCTTGCTTGCTTTCCCTAGAGTTGATAAAGGCCCTGCTGAATGATCCATCTTCTGCAAAGACGGATGAGGTGAGGACTGAGCCGCAGGTGCTGGGGGAGGGAGTTAAGAGCAAGCAGAAGGGCCCCCACCTGCTCTGTTCAGCCCACCCTGCACCCTGCTGAGCATTTGCCAGAGTCTTAGGCATCCTTTTCCCTCCTGGGTTCAAGCCCCGTGTCTTCCTTTTGCTCGTGCTGCTGTTTGCAGTGATCTCCAGTGCCCCTAGACCTGGATCTCCCATCTGTCATGGGTACCACTCACCTCACACATCCTGCCTGGGTTCGCCAGGATACAAGTAGAGGCACATGGGCATTCTCTCCACCTCTAACTTCCACTGGAGGAGGGGGAAGGCAGGGCTGCCCCCTCATGCCTTGCTGCCTTGCCCAGGTGGTTCGGTATGAGGCAGGCTACGTGGTGTGTGCTGTGATTGCTGGCCTCTACCTCCTATTGGTGCCCGCTACTGGGCTCTGCTTCTGCTGTTGCCGTTGCCGCCGGCGCTGTGGGGGCCGAGTGAAGACGGAGCACAAGGCCATGGCCTGTGAACGCGGCACTCTCATGTCCTTTCTGCTGCTGACCACCCTCGTGCTTCTGTGAGAGACTGCATAGGTCAGGGGGGAGGTCAGGATGGCGGCCCTGTGCTCCTGGGCACACGGCAAACCCTTTTCTCCTGGCCTCCGTCCCTGCAGGATTGGTATGGTCTGTGCTTTTGCTACGAACCAGTACACACATAGTCAGACAGGCCCCAGTGTGGAAGCTGTCCCTGAGACCCTGCTCAGCCTAAGAGGCCTGGTGTCTGATGTGCCTGGAGTGAGTACTATACAATTCTCTCATCTGTGTGTGAGTACCCTGCTTGAAGGCAGACCCATAGAACCGTATCTCTGCAGCCTGTAAACCTGCCAAGCAGAGAGGGCGTCCCTTCCTGTGTGCACTTGGCTGCCACCTGCTGGAAAGTCCCTGAAATGCCTAACTGACGGATGGGGTTACTGAAGGAGGGAGGATGACTTAACCCACTGTTTGTCTAGGAGCTTCAGGCTGTGGCTGAGCGGTTCTCTGTGCCCCAGGAGCAAGTCTCAAAGGAGCTGGATGGTGAGGGTTATAGGTGGCCGGCTCCAGGTCCCTCTGCCCTGGCCTGCCTTGGGGAAACATCCCAGCTCCCTTAACCTGGACTGCACCAGGGTACCACTTCACACAGAGGGATCTTCACACAGTCATACTTCTGCAGGACAAGGAAGCTAACACCACCTTGCAGAGCCCAGGGCTCATGGGAGGCAATGGGAATGTCCTCAGCTCCTGGGGGGGGGGGGATGGGGAGAACATCGCTGCCAAATGTCCTGTGTTGTCCAGGTGTCGGTGAGAATCTTGGGAACATAATTCACAACCAGCTCAAGAGCACAGTGTACCCGGTGCTAGCCTCAGTGCACAGCCTGGGCCAGGGTGAGTTGGACCAGAGCCCTGTATGTGGGTGGGTCCAGCAGGTGTCTTCCAGGAGTCGATTCTCCCATCCCCCACCCCTTGCATGTACCGCCCCAGCTCCACCCAAGTCCTTCTTCCCATTATGTTGGGATCCTGTATGGGCATCTCTGCCTACTCCCTGGCCACACGTGCCCAGCGGCAGTGTCCATTGTGGCTATAGATAGTTTATACCCCATTAGCCAGGGGGAAAGAATGTGGTGTCTCTCTTTGCTAAGGTGCTGAGGACACCAGGGAGAGAGGAGACCCTCAGGCCACGTGTGACTCTCTCAGCCCTGCAGGTTTCCACAAACCACCTTCGAGCCCTGAACACCACCTCCGTGGAGCTGCAGGAGGCGCAGCAGCACCTGGAACCACCTGTGCGGGCACACCGGGAGCGCCTGCTCACCTTGCTTCAGGAGAGCTGGTGCCGCGGGACCTGCAAGGGGGCCCTAAGCCAGGCCAGTGCCCTGCAGCTGGGTGCTGACTTCAGCCAGGTGCAGGCACTGAACAAGCCCACTGGGACTTGGGAGGGCTGGTCTAGCCTGCACTTTTGAAATCCTTCAGCATCTTGGTAGTCAGGTGGCTTTCATGAGGCTTTCCAGAGAACACTTTCCCTGGGTTGTGCCTTCCTTTCCAGAGCACCCAGAGTTAAGGACTCTTTGTTCTTAGAGTGAGCCAAAGCTCTTCGTTCATGGGCCACACACACAGCCCCAAGCCTCATGTGTATTAGCTTCTTGGGTTCTCACTGCCTCCCTGGGTGATAGGGGGTCTCTGTGGTCCCCATTTTACATATGAGGACACTAAGGGTTCCGAGGCACCTCCTTCCTCTCGTAGGGATCCTTCTCATGTCATGGAACCCTCTATTTCAGGTGCCCCCTGTGGATGATGTCCTGCATCGGCTGAAGAATGTCCCAGAGGCCAACTTCTCCAGCATGGTCCAGGAGGTAAGCCCTATCTTGGTTACCTGGTTTCCTCCTGCCTGAGAACTAACAAGGGAAGAGCTTCAGTTTCATTCTCTGGAATAAGAACCTGGGTGAGCCAGGCGGTAGTGGCGCACACCGTTAATTCCAGCACTCAGGAGGTAGAGCAGGGGATCTGAGTTCGAGGCTAGCCTAGTCTACAGAGTTGAGTTCCAGGACATCCAGCACTACACAGAGAAACCCTGCCTCAAAAAAAGAAAGAAAGAAAGAAAGAGAAAGGAAGGAGGGAAGGAAGGAAGGAAGGAAGGAAGAAAGAAAGAAAGAAAGAAAGGAAAAAAGAAAAAGACCTCGGTTAAATCCAGGACTTGAGTCCACCCTCACCCAGTGGCAGCCTGAGCTAGACGCTCATTGTGCCAGTCCCCACTGCAGTCAGATGGGAGAGGCAGGTCTGCAGCTCAGAAAGAGGAGTTGGGCTCCCCTCAGGGATGGGGTCTTCAGGCCAAAAGGGAGCAGAGCAGGTGCTTTGGCTGTACCCCGACAGGCAGGCCTGCTCTCTGAGGCGGGGGTGGGGAGTGGTGCCGCCATGTGAGTCAGAGCCTGTGACCCAGGGCCTGGAGTTGGGGAACCAGTGAGTCAGCTATGCTGGGAGGCTGGGAAGAAGGAAGCCCGGGCTAAAGTGGATGGGAGGCTGGAGTTGGACTGAGGGAGTAGAGCTGGTTGTTAGGATAGGATAGGTGGGGACAGGTGAGAGATAAAAGGCAGCGCTGTCTAGGAAGTGGCTGTGCGTAGCTGGTGCCTTGTGTGGAAGAGTTGAGCTAAGCAGGAGAAGCCATGTTTGCAAGGACAAGAGGATCACTTCCTTTTCTGGCACCATTAAACAGCAGCACCCTCCCTCTGGGCCCCTGACCTTGAGACCCCAAGGTAGAATTCCAGGCAAAAAGCGACAAACACAGCCTTGCTTGGTTCCACAGGAGAATACCACCTTCAATAGCCTCCCGCTCCTGGTTGCAGTGCAGACGGTCAGTGTGGTCCAAGGTGAGGCCCTGCTCAGGGGTCTGACTAGCTTCCTGGCATGCCACCCCCAATGTACCCCTTCCAGGGAGGCTTGCTGAGAGAGGAGCTGGGCAGTGGTGGGGATGGATGTCTTCCCTGTCTGGTGGGCTCTCTATGGGTTCTGGGAATTTGTCCCTGGTCCCTGGGTACCCTCTGTATCCCCTGAGACACTGTAGCTTTGGGCAGATCTGAAAAAGGCGCTGGCTGAGCAGCCTGAAGGTGTGAGGATGCTGGCCCAAGGGTTCCCAGGTTCAGAGGCAGCTTCCCGCTGGAGCCAGGCGCTGGAGGGGCTGGAACAGCGCAGCCGCCCCTACTTACAGGAGGTGCAACAATACGAGAAATACAGGTGAGCGGCACCCTGGGCCTCCATTCTATCCCCGTCCACTTCCAGCCTGACAATACTTCTGCCTCCGTTTAAAGTCAAGAACCCTAACTCCTATGGCTTCCATGTTCCACCTGACTGTGTATCCCCAAACCTGAGCCTGGGGACCCTGTAAAAGCTATGAGACCTCAGGAAATGTTTGCACCTCTGCTTCTAAAGATTCAGTCTGGGGGCCTAGAAACCTAGGTCCCGGGCCAGCCCTCTGGTGCCAGCTGCCTTCCTTCTCAGTGAGCCCCCTACTCTCTCTGCGGCAGGTGGATTTTGGGATGTGTGTTGTGCTCTGCCATACTGCTTGTGGTGATCTGTAACCTGCTCGGCCTCAGCCTAGGCATCTGGGGGTTGTTTGCCAGGGAGGACCCCAGCCACTCCGAAGCCAGAGGCGAGGCTGGAGCCCGCTTCCTCATGGCGTAAGCAGGGGCCGGGGGTGATTGGGGGGGAGAAGGGACCTTCACTGCTGGGTTGCCAGATTCTTCCCGGTATGGCAACAGGAGTAGAGTCTGGCAAGTCAGGAGGTTGAGACTTGGTGCTGACCGGGACCCATTCCTTGGGTGACTCTGGGTGAAGCAATGACCTCTCTGGGCCCCAGTCCTCCTCTGTCTAAGGGGGTTGGGCTGATGCAGGGACAGCACCAGTAGTAACTATAGCATACGCACCAAGCCCAGACACAGTTCCGGAATCCTTAGCTCGGCTTCTAGGCAGTCCCAAAGCCGTCATCAGGAGGCGGCAACAAAGTCAGAATCTGCTTGCCATCCTTAAACTAGATGGCCTTTAAGACCAAGGCGGCCACATACGGTTGGCCAGGTTGTTCATTAAACAAGGTGCCCAATCAAAGGGATTAGCGAGGATCTGAAATCCACCCCACACTTTACTCTCTAAGCCTCATGGCCTGGCCTGGGGCTGTGGCCACTCACAAAGAAGCTCTGTAAGTCAGTGGCCCTGGTGACAGGGCCCTTACCTCTCAGTCCCTTTGAAGTGTTATCTAAGTAGATGAGTCATGTCTGCTATGCCAATGGCTACCTAGAAAGGTGAGCACAGGGATGGGTCACTTCCCTGGACTTTAAGTCCAGAAACGGCTCTTCCAACAGGCAGGCATCCTTCCTCTAGGGTTTCAGGGCAGCAGGCCTGAGCAATTGGATGGGGGTGGGGTGGGGGTGCCAAGAAGCTGCCAGGCGTGCTGGATTATCCTTCTTTGCCCAGGAGGCATGCCTTGTTGTCAGCCTATGCCTGTGCAGGTTCCAGGATGTGGGTGGGGGTAGGCCTGGTCCAGGGCTGTCAGCTTCCACGTTCCTTCAGCCATGTCTCTCGCCTCCAGAGGTGTGGCCTTCAGCTTCCTCTTTGCAGCCCCCCTCATCGTCCTCGTCTTTGCCACTTTCCTGGTGGGTGGCAACGTGCAGACGCTGGTGTGCCGGAGCTGGAAAAGCGGAGAGCTGTACGAGGTGGGTCTGGGCCTGTTCCATCTCAGAGGGAGCTGAAGGGAGTTTGAGCCAAGAAAGTGAATCAGAAGGAAGTGGGAGCCAGAGGTGCAAGCAGGACAGGAGGAAGGAGGATGAGATGCGCGGGGTGTGGGGGGGGGTGGATAGAGAGACACCCATGAGACACCCATGAACCCCAAGCCCCTGCATATGCCCCAGGTCCCAACAAGGGCTCCAGGTGAGGGGACCCATGTTCTTTCCTAACTCTTAAGTCTGGGAAGGGCACTGTGCTGAAGGCCCTGCTTATACCACTGCCAGAGATTTATGGGCAAAGTCCCCATGAGGAATCAGGGCATAGAGTCATTTGAATTAGAGCGAGTAACGGGTGGCACCAAGCGTCAGGGCCCCTTCATCTCTCTATGCCCCACCTCTTCCTGCCCAACCGCAGTTTGTAGACACCCCGGGGAACTTGCCTGCATCCATGAACCTGTCCTACCTTCTTGGCCTGCGGAAGAACATCAGCGTCCTCCAGGCCTATCAGTGAGTAGGAGATCTGGGGTTGGGGCTGGAGCAGGGAAATAGAAGGGAGGTGCAAAAGTGGGTGTCCCCCTTAGGGTGATGCCAGCCTCACCTGCCACCCCTGGTGGCTCTTGGTTGATGGATGTCTTTCTTCCCCAGACAATGTAAGACAGGGGCAGTACTCTGGAAGGTTCTACAGCTCAATGACTCCTATGACCTGGATAAGCACCTGGATATCAAACAGGTAAGAAGATGTTCTAGAAGGTGTTAAGACTTCACCCCTCCTATGCAGCCTTTCCTTCTGTTCTTCTGGGGCATTATCTCTCAACTCATCTCTTATCAAGGTACCTCAAGCCAGAGGTCTTAGCAACCAACACAGGAACTATCCAGGGCTTTAGCTATGGAAGATTCTAGGGCTGTAAGTGGGGTGAGTGAGTAGCTGGCTGCCTGAGCATCTCTGAGCATGTGCACCAGGGAAAGCTTAATACAGCACAGGTTATGGAGGAGAGGACAGGGACAGAAAGAGTGGGGGCGGTGTGTCTGGATGAGAACAGGTCCTGGGTGGCATGTTCTAGCAGATAGTGGAACGGCGGTGCTCCTGAGCCAGAGGGGTGACACCTGTAGAAAGCTCTCGTGGCTTGTGTACCTCAGAGCCAGCTGTTGGCCATGGCAGAGTCTATCCCCACCCCCACAAGAGTTTCAGGTTGCCCATCCTCCCCAGGACTCAGGTGGCTCATTTGCCAGAGGCGGTTCAGGGAGTTAGAGTGGACCTTGAAGCAGAAGCGGGTGGAAAGGCAGAATGGAAGTAATGGAAAATGGAGGTCCCTGTCAGTACTGACAGGAGAAAGCTTCAGAACCAGGGAAGGGGGTGCATTTTAGAACGAACATGCCGTTTTTCCTCTCTCCATCCTTAGGAAAGGCGGGGAAGAGGGCCCTGAAGAATCGTTTCTCTAAGCATGTTTTAGGAAGCACTCCTCCCATGCCCCTCCATACCCCAGCTAGTACTGTTGCTGCCCACACAAAACTAGCTCATTTTGGTGCTCCCGAGAAACCGCTTGGATTTATCTCCATCCCAAGTCATGGGATGGCACAGTCAAACAAGATCAGTCCTGACTCGATGCCTTAAGCCATGGCTAGGGATACTTGCGTAAATGTCAGTGCCTTTTTCCTCCAGAATCTTTAATCAGAAACAGAGAGCTGGAGACTCTGCAGGTTGGGCACAGGGATCGCCAGCCCTGGTAGCTGGAAGTCATCTCAGCCTTAGGTGATCTCAGCCCCAGAGAGAAGAGGGGTCCATCTTACAGAAAAGTGTGGACCAATGAGGTTCTGGTTCTGAGGGACCAAGCAGTTATTTGAGGTTGTATGGTGATCTTGAAGAAACTTCTCGGGAGAGACTCTAAAAAGCCAATCTGCATAGATCAGAAAGATAAAATGTGCCATTCAGGGCACCAGATGGCTGCTTCATGTCCCATCCCTGTCAGTTATGTCTGGAATGCTGCTACCAAGAGAGTTGGAGCCCCCCCTCCCTGGAGGAAAGTTGCCTAGTAAGATGGGAAGAGGCGACCAGAGATGGCTGGTTTCTGATATTGAAATTGAATGTCATGTCCACAAAACAGGCAAATGCTGACTGTCTTTCCTGGAAATGTGGGTGTGTCATTCACTCTTCATCCATTCATTTGTCAGTTCATTCACAAATCTACAAACTGGATCTCACCGACCACTTGACAGACTCCGCTGCAGACGAGGGACCTTACAGTAGAAGTGTCCCAGTCCCTGGTACTATTGAGCTGATGTAATTAACAAGCCCAGGGATAAGAGACTTGAGAGTATAGGTGCTGTGAAAACCTTAATACAGGATGTGATAAAGAAGAGCCAAAAAGCTACTTTGTATCAGGTGGCCAGGGAAAGTGTTGTCTGTTTTACTCTTTGTGGGGGCCCGCCATCCAGTTCCCAAATAAATCACTCATGGAGGCTTATTCTTAGTTATGAATGCCCAGCCTTAACTACACTAATTTCTTGCCAGCTTTTCTTAGCTTAAATTATCCCATTTATCTTTGGTCTCAGAGCTTTTATTTTTCTATCTCTATATACCTTACTTTACTTCTTCTTCCGTGACTTGCTGTGTGGTTGGGCGGCTGACCCCTGGTGCCCTCTTCTCCTTCTCTTGCTCCCTGAATCCTTCCTTCTCCCAGAATTCTCCTCATATTTATCCTTTCTACCTGCCATCTCTGCCTATTTCTTTCTCCTGCCCCACCGTTGGCCATTCATATCTTTAATAGACCATCAGGTGTTTAGACAGGCTTCACAGAGTTAAACAAATGCACACAAACAAAAGTAACATACCTTAAAATAATATTCCCCAACAGGTAAGTCTGGGCCAAGGCCCAGTTGTCACATGGTCCCTGGAAGCAGGCCAGGGCTCTGAGTAGAGTTCTCTTGGGGGTCTGTGAGGGTGTGTCCACCTGGAAAACCAGGTGATGGCCCTTGAGCCAAGCGACCAGGCTCAGCAATATGCCTCATCCTGTCCTCTCCTCCAGTACACCCAAAAGTTCCAGGAGGAGCTTCAGAACTTCAAAGTGGATGTGAAGAATCTAGACCTGTTGAGTCCCGCTGCTCGCCGAGACCTGGAAGCTTTGCAAGGTAGCAGGCTGGAGAAAATCCACTATGGAAACTTCTTGGTACAGGTCAGTGAGGGGCACATCTGGTGACCCAGCAGGATGTGGCACTGAACAGAGGGCCAGTCTGTGTGTGTTTGGCCTCTTTCCAGCTCTCTACAGTCTCTCTGTTCCTGGGACTTCTTCCTGTTAAGGAACTAGGACACTTCTCCAGGTCCTTTAAGCAAGACCATGAGTCGCTGTTCATGGTCCTGAACCACTGCTGCTAAGAATGGTGGTGTCATACTTAGTTTCCCACGTGTATGGGTGTTTTGCCTATATGTATGTCTGTGTACCATATGCATGCAGTAACTGTGGAGACCAGAAGAGGGCAGATGAAACCATGAGACTAGAGTTTTAGATGATTGTAAGCCACCAAGTGGGTGCTGGAAATCCAACCCAGGTCCTCTGGAGGAGCAACCAGTGCTTTTAACTGCTGAGCCCTCTCTCCAGCTGGACACTGGCTTTTCTTCAAGTCACTCCAGAGAGCATCTTTATTTCTCTAGTCCATTGGACTCTGAAACACTTCACACCTTCAGTTCAAGCTCACCACAACTCACGTCACAATAGACTTAGCTGGAGCTGGGAATATGGCTCAATTGGTAAAGAGCTTGCCTAGCATGCACAAAGCACTGGTTCAATCTCCAGTGCTACATCAAGCCTGATGTGGTAGCAGGTGCCTGAAACCCAGCACTTGAGAGGGAAGAGGAGGATGGGCAAGCTTGGATTCAGCCTCGGCTGTATGAGACCTTCTCTGAGATAGTAGATAGAGATGCGGGGCGGGATGGAAATGATTGAACATAGTTGGAGCAGGGCACAGTTGACAAGTCTGGGGATTCAGAGGCTGGGGTTATCCAGGGACATCTGGGTTCAGCCTTCTTGGTGTCTCCTGTCTTCCCTCAGATCCAGAAGCCTGTAGTGGAGACTGACATGGAGCAGCTGGCGCGGGAGCTGGAAGGACTGGCCCAGGCTCAAGTGAGAAGGGAGCGGAGACCCTGTAGCCAGACAGTGGTCAAGAAGGAGATCTGGACGGGGTGGGGAGGGGTGTGGAGGGAAGACTAGGAATGCTGGGATTGGAGAAGGGACAGGAACAGAGGCTGGGGACTGAGGGCCCCACCCACAGGTGCTGAGGCTTTTTACCCTGCTGTTGGGCTGAGGGTCTGCAAGTTCAGCTCCCATTCAGGCCCTGCTGTCAATTGCTGTGTGGCCTTGGGCAAGCCATTTTGCATCTCTGAACCTCTGTCACTGTGTCTACAGACTGTCCTAGTCTCTGAGCAGATGGGAGTTTCTGGCCTAGCCTCACACAGCTGGGCCAGCTTCAAACTCTGCCAGGACAGTGCTGTGAGGACCCCTTCCCCCAAAAGACACATGCATTCCCCACAGGAAACCTCTTTCTGTATTTACAGATATCTCAAGTTTCTGAAATTCTCCATGAGACACCTCAGACTCCACAGCCACCTTGGCCTTGCAGAGAGCACGGCCCAGTTTTAGCTGTGGTTGCTACGGCTTAAGTGGTGCTGTGGCAGATTTGGTAGCATCCAGCTCAGGGAAGACCTAGATCAGGGAAGAAGCTTGAGGATTTTCTCTCTGAACCCAGCCCTTTTCACCTTCCTCAGAGGGCTGCTCTTTGTTGGGGTGGGGACCCTTCTAATCCTTTGGTCTGCCCTCAGAATGACTCTGTACTGAAGCAGCAACTACAGGAGGAAGCCAGAGAACTCCGAAGCCTCTACCAGGAGAAGGTCGTCCCCCAGCAGAGCCTTGTGGTAAGCTTGAAGGGAGTCTGGGGCCTGAGGGACAGGAGGGATGGAGAGAGGGCCGTGAAAGGAGGAAGAGGCCAGCCTCTAACAATCCTTGCCTCTAACAATCCTGATTCCTCCTCCACAGGCCAAGCTCAATCTCAGTGTCAGGGCCCTGGAGTCCTCTGCCCCAGATCTGCAGGTAGCTAACGGGAGTGGGAGGATAGGTTGGAACAGGGGGCACTAGAGGAAGACAGGGCAGCTGCTTTGAGATTTCTGCTCTGTCTTGTCCCATTGGGAGGTGAAGGGGGAGGAGGAAAGGGGTCAGGTCCTTAAGGACCTCTTTTGTTGGCCTCTGGGTCCTAAAGCCTGCCCTTCATCTTTTAAAACGATTGTGTGGTATATCGTAGGATGGCTGGATGGATTGGTGGGTGAGTGGATAGATGGATGGCTGATTTGGACTGTTGTCTCCTGCAGGTAGATACCGCAAATGTTCTTGGTAATGTCACTCGTCTGAAAGGAGAGCTGCCTGCCCTGACCAGCCACATTGTGAGGAATGTGAGTTGAGGGCAGGGAGTATCTACCACAGGCTTTCCCTCCAGCTCGGCTTTCACTATGGCTCCCAGGAGAGCCAGGCTCATTCTGATGATGTCAGACGTGGAGGGGTGTAGGGAGACAGGATCCCTGCCAACCATGGGCTTCTCTTTCCTGTAGGCCTCTGAGTGTTTCCTGACCAGGGAAATGGGCTACTTCTCTCAGTATGTGGCCTGGGTGAGAGAAGAGGTGAGTGAGGGCTTGGCACCCCACCTGGTGTACCTACCCCAGTGGACCAGCTATGGAGCCCTTTGGGGGTACCGCAGGCCTTTGGAATTGGATGCAAACTCCCAAACCTGCCATCTGCACTCTTGCTCACAAAAATAGATCCTGCTCACCCGACTTCTACCCCCAGCCCTTTTGTGAGACCCAAGTATGGGCTAGGTTGACCACAGCTTTTCTAGAACATCCCATCTACTCCTTGCCCCTATGCCTCTCCATGGATAGGTCCCTCACCCTGCTTGTCAAAGGCCAACCATCAAAGCTCACCTCCTCTTACACATCCCAGCGCCTTAGGTTCTGGGAAAGGTCTGAGCTGGGGTTTGCTTGCCCGTGAGTGTCTGTGTATATGCATTTGGGGGCAGGCATGTGTGTGCATGCATGTTCCCTTTCCAATAACGATGACTTACAACCATACTGAGGGATGCAGCAAGACTCACGTGTGGGCTAGTGAGCGGATGAAAGGGACGAGAGCTAAGCTGAGCCGGAAGTTCAGTGTCCTAACCTTCCTGGGGACCCATGACCATTATATCTGTGCTTGCACCTTCCACTCCGTGTTCACGTGTAAGGTGGACCCCAGCTAAGTCCCTGGGCTTCTGTGTTCATCTTGGCCTCCTCTTCAGAACATGGAGTACCCATCTGTGGGTTCAGGTGTCTTCCCATATACCTGTCTCACTTTGGTACCACAGGTGACACAACACATCGCCACCTGCCAGCCCCTCTCTGCAGCCCTGGACAATGGCCATGTGATTCTATGTGACATGATGGCCGACCCCTGGGTGAGTGTCCCCAGCCTGTCACGAATACAGAGTCCAGTGGACAGGGACAGTAGGAGGGCACGAGGCCAGGGTGTGGAGTCAGTGCAGAGCCTGTGGGCACAGGGATGGTGGGAAGGTGCCATCTGCCCAGCCTGGTGAGCTGACCTCATGGCTCCTCTTCAGAACGCCTTCTGGTTCTGCCTGGGGTGGTGCACCTTCTTCCTCATCCCCAGCATCATCTTCGCCGTCAAGACCTCCAAATACTTCCGTCCCATCCGGAAACGCCTCAGGTAAGGGACTGTCGGAACAACAGTGGGCATCAGATGTCCAGGAATTCTTTACAGCCATTGGGCTGCACCCTGTCCAGACCCCTCCCAAGCAGAGAGAGCTTCTGACCCAGCTCTAAGGAGTACGGGGGCCTGATAGTTCCCACATCAGCCTGCTGCATCTTTCTTGCTGCAACTTGACCACCTGGAGGGTAGCTCCTTGGGACTTATCCTTCTCTGGAGGACTCCTGAGGCAGGGCCACCTCCAGTCAGCCTGTGCCAGGGCCGAGGGTCTGTGCTGGGGACTCACTTTACTCTGTGATGTCACAGCTCCACCAGCTCCGAGGAGACACAGCTTTTCCATATCCCCAGGGTCACTTCCCTGAAGCTATAGGACCCACTGGTGAGTTGTCCCCCCTCCCTCATAATTCCCCTGAACCTGATTGGAGGGGCTCAGATCTGGGGTTTCAGCATGAAGGAGGGGACAGGAAGGCTTGTGGTCTGGGTCAGTGTGGATGGGACCTCCCCCCCCCCACACACCTGCTTTCACCTGTTTTCTTTTTAGTTTCTAACAGGCAAGGTGATCCCTGGGGACTTCCTGTCCTTCTTTTGTCTCACCCTGGACCAGAAGAATTGTCATCCCCTTCCCAGAGTGCAGGCTGGCCTCTGGTGCTGGCCTGTCCCCTCTCCTTCTCCAGCTTCCCTGGTCCCACCTTTATACTCCTCCCCTCATGACCCAAATCATACTCAGCCCTTACTGAACTATAGAGCCAACAGGTTCTTCTGGGTACCTAGCACTTGTCCTCCTTGCTGTGGTATCCCAGCAACAGGGAGGGCCTCTTCTCCACCCATGGGAGCTCCTTCTCCGGTCTTTAGGTGGACTCAGGTCCTTCCATCTACCCCATCTTTCTCCCTGCTTCCTGTCCAAGTCCCTTTCCCCTTATCTGAGTTTGTTCCTCCCCCACCTGCACCAGCCTCCTTCCTGGTCCCTCCCCAGCCCTTTGCTTGCTCTCTCCATGGACAGGCCTGTCTGAGGGCTGAGCTGTCCTGTCTGCACCCCAGGTTATAAATAGCCACACCGGTCCCATCTTCCCTCTGAGCACTGGCTTCTAAGAGTGGACCAGGGATGTGGGCCACATGGGCTCCCTCTTTGCCCCAGAGACAGTAGCATGGTGGCCCACACCAGGAAGAATCTGGTGGTGAGAACACAGTTTTGCCCTCCTCTTTCCATCCTGCGCATACGGCCTGGGATCACCCCTCACTTGTCTCTGCATGGTCTCTATGTGCTGGACACTAGGTCTGGAAAGGACAAAGCAAAAAGAGACGATATGGACGAGCCTCTGTTCCATTAACATGTCACTTCCCTAAGCTTTGCCTCTGGGTCCCTGAAGCTGGAACCCTAAGGCTGAGGTTCAGTAAACAGCTTAATGAACATCTGTGGGAAGAATCCCACGGCCTCTCTGACTGCAGGCACCCTGGGACTGTGCAGCAATTCAGTGTGAGGAGCAGAGCCTGCCTGGTCATGTGATTCACAGCCTGGTTCTGATGCTGCTAGCTGGGGCACCTCAAATATGTGATGTGGGTCCCCCAAGCCGCAATTTCTTTCTTTCTTTTTCTTTTCTTTTCTTTTTTCTTTTTTTGATAGAGAGGCTCCTCGGAGCCTGTATGTAGGGTTGTGAAAGCCAAACATGATGAGAGGAAAACCTTGACAGGGCTTGGTGTGAGCAAGTGCTGCTTGGGCGTTGAGAGCTAGGCTCAGGGCAGAGCCAGGGTCTGGGCATAGAGGGGATGCCCTTTATGTTAGTGTGTTTCTGGGCATGTTGGTGTGGAATTGCATCTTCTGAGCTAGCAGCAGTTTTGTTGCTAGGACTCAGGATGGTGGTACCTGATGTGCTAAGACTCCTACATTATTACTCTCAAACAAGTTTTTTTGTTTGGTTGTTTTGTTGTTTTTGGTGGTTTGGGTTTTTTGTTTGTTTATTTGTTTGTTTTTTCTTTTTTGGCTTTTCCCAGAGGTTAGAAGTTTTTGTTTTGTTGTTTGTTTGTCTTGTTGGTTGTTACTTGTTACTTGAGAGTGAGGAAGTGACACCCTGTATTTTTTAGATATAATTGATGGGATTTAAACAAATGAAATAAAAGCAATTAAAAATCATCTCTGGTTCTGTCAGAGTTGCTTATCTGATCTGTTAGATGCCTGCGCATATTACGTGCAGTTATTTTAAACTGAGTCTTTGGTGCAGATGGGAGCCCCTGATGACCTGCTCCTGGTGGCTGTCATGGTCGTTGTTTTTGTTGGTTTCATCTTGCCTCTTCTACATGGTAGGGCTGGTTGGATATTGGCACTCTTATATCTGAACATCTGTCAGAACGACTGGCGGCCGTGGGTGACATCATCTTCCATCTCGTGTGCATCTAGCAGTGGCTGGGGACCACTAAAGTTCCCTGGAGAGCGGGTCTGTGCCAAGTCTTCACTCCACCTACCCCCCTACAGCATGGAAGACTTGCCAGGCACCCCCTTTTGATGGGTGTGGCTTTTAATCAGATGTTACTTAAAGCTCTGCTCAGCATCCTTTGGAATCAGAACACACCCTAACATGGAAATAGCCCGCCTTTCCCACCGTACCTTGTTTTATATGATGCTGGGATTTGAACCCAGGACTTCATGTGCTTTAAGCAACCTTTCTATCAAATGAGCTATATCTTCATTCCAGCTCTGTGGTTCTTTACAGGCCCCCTTGCTCCCCGCAGCTTAAATACACATCACTTCAAATGCTCAAAAGGCGCACACACCACACATCCTCTTTTACAAGTGACGTCTAACTGGGAGTTATTCCTTGGCTTTAGCATCCAGAAACCTCGTCACAGCCTTTTGGATGCTGTTTGGAGAAGTAGTTCAGAGGCTATTGCTCTAAACACTGGTCACCCAGGGATGAGGGTGCTGGCAGTTAAGAAGCAAAAATAGCTGTAGAGAGAAGCAGATGCCTGCTCTCCCTGTTTAAAATGATGGGCGGTACCTGGCTGGAGCTGCTCTGTACAGAAGCTGAACCACACCCCTCCCCCCCCACACACATACACATGCACAATGGCAGTTACCTTTTGCTGTTGTTGTTATCTGTGGTTGAGCCTGATGAAGCCCCAGGAAATTATCTGGCAACTTCAAGGTCATCAAGTTAGATGACCCTGGACATGTTCTACTGGATTCTCCGCATGTCCCCATCTCCTGTGGCAGGACAGGAGGGAGGCCATATCTCCAGGGAAGTTTGAGTCAGATGTCCTTAGTGTCCCTGTGGCAGGAGGGATGACAGATTGGGGACCCTGGGAGCTCTGCTAGATTTCCACCTGGTTGCTCAGCGCAGGGCCCTGGGGCAGATTCTGCCAAAGAAGCACCATGTGGGTTAGGGCAGCACAGGGGGCACACAGCAAGGGCCACATGCCTGGGGCTGGAGCGGAGTGAACAAACATTTATTCACTGAGCTAGGCGCTATGTATCAGCCAAGAAAGAGGCATACATTTAGCTACTTGGTTTAGAGAAGGAAGGTTTTGCCCATACCCATCCAAAGGAATCTACAAGGCTGGTGGCACTCCAGTACCCATTGGAATCGCCTGGGTCCAACCTGAGACCTTGCTCAGGCTTGATCACGGACAATGTCCCTCCTCCCATTGTCCAAGGGCCAAAACCCTTTCCTTCCCTCTTCAGGCTATGTACTGAGCGAGAGGCTGGCAGCCAGCCGGATGGAACAAAGCCTTTTCTCCTGGCAAATAAGGCTTTCCCTGAGTCTCTCGGATATGCCATGTGGAGCACCTCACACTTCCCCAATCTTACAGACAGTAATAAAGTTGAAGACCTGGGTGAGGATGGAGGTGGAGTATTGGGGACCGAGAGCTATACCACTCCTGCTCATGGGTGATGTGGAACTCAGGGTCGAGACAGTCACCCCCTCATCTACACTGAGGGTACCAAGGAGTTAGGGCCAGTGGAGACTCAAGGGAAGTAAGCGAAGCCCAAGATGAGGGGAGATGCCTCCCTTCACTAAAGCCAGAAGGAAGAGTCACCACAAGCACAAGAGGGTTAGCAGGATGGCTCTCTGGGTAAGGGAACTTTCTGCCAAGCTTCATGACTTGAATTTGATCTCTAGGACCCAAGTAGTTAGAAAACTGACTCCCACAAGGCGTCCTTTGCCCTCCACATGTGTACTGTGGCCATTGCCTCCTTCCTGACCACTTAAAAAAAAGAGCAAGTGGGGTTTGTAGGATTCCTAAAGTTTGGGAAATGTAGGGGACAGGCACTTCCTTCTCCCCTCTGTAGGATCACTGTTAGCTGTGTAAATGCAGAACTTAGGGGAGGGTTACTGATCCGATTGAAGGCTCCGGTGAGAGTTGGCATGGGACCACATTCGTTGGCCTGTTCCATGCCTGGCGGAGGAACAGACTTCAGGCAAGAGCAGGTGCATGTGCCCCTGGGTGTTGGAAGCTTCTTGTTAGCCGTGGTCCCCCAACCACATAACAGCCATGTGGAAGATCTGGTGTGGCCAGAAGGAAGGTCGCCAGGAATGGCTAGGGCTGCTGGTTCATCTTTTGTCAACCTGACACGAGTTAGAGCCACCTGGAAAGACGGACCAGCAACTGCAGAAATGCCGCCATCAGACTGGCCGGTAGGGCATTTTCTTGATTAATGATTGATACGGGAGGACTCAGCCCCCTGGAGGCAGTGCCAGCTCTGAGCAGGTGGATGCGGGCTGTATCAGAAAGGCAGGCTTCTTCCATAGTTCCTGCTTCAGTTCCTGCCCTGACATCCCTCCGTGATGGACTGTAAGCTGAAGTAAGCCCATCCCTCCTGCAAGCTGGTCCTGGTGTTTATCATAGCAACAGAAAGCAAACTAGGAAGCTTAAGTGGAGGCTGATCCCCCACACACACCCACACACACCCTCTCTGGGAGCAGGCCTCCTGCCTTTGGAAGTCCGGTTTGGTCCCAATGGCCTCTACTTCAGGGCAGGTGTGCTAAGAGCGAGCCAAAGGAGAGCCCTAACTGTGCTGTGTGCCTAAAGTGACTAAGAACTGCTTCTGTTCCCCTCCCAAGAAGGGTCCTGGGCCTGTCAGGTTTTCACGTGGCTTGTGGCAAAAGAGGTTCCACGGGTCTGAGGAAGACTGTAGAAGTGACGCGGATGTTCACCATTCCAGGCTGTGCCCACTTCTGAGATCTGCAGCATCCGAGGAAGGCGTATTTTTTAGGGCAACAGACATCTCTGGAGCTCTTGTGAGATTAGACCGGTCTCCACCCAGTAGGGGCCCTGTCATAGGTAAGGGCTGTGGGGTGTGGACCCTGAGAGATGTCCCTATCAACTCTCCCAGACCCTCTGCAAGACCCAGACTCAGAAGGGGCCTGAGGAAAAGGTATGAAAACTGGAGGCTCCCCAGAGCTGTCTGAGGGGCTGGCAAGGAAAGAGTTAAGCTTGAGCCTGGTGTGGAGAGGTCCTGATCGAGAGCTGAGAATGGTTCTGTTTGCCAGGATTGTAGTTGTGTGAATTTCTCTCCTGGAGAGGTGGAAAGGGCTCCAGCTGGCTGTAGTGGCCCACGTCTGCATCTTCAAGTGTTGGAGTACAAAGAAGAGAACAGCCTCCTGAGACTCGGAGTCAACTCTCCCTCTTCCTCTTGCAAACTACACCACACCGCTCCTCCCAGCCCACCTGAAGAAGCCACAGCTAAAACCCATCAGCCTAAGTATTGCCAAACCACACTGGGCCTCCTTCTGCATCCTAAACAGACCTCCAAAGACTCTTTCTCTTAGGGAAGACAGTCTGTCCCTACGTGGCAGAACAAGGCTGAGGTTCACTTGAGGTCTTGCTTTGGCTCTTTTTGATTCCTCCATCTTCCAGAAATTCTAGAAGGACCTTGGAAATGTCTGAGGGCATTGAGAAAAATCCCCGCGATAACCAAAGGAAG